TTGTTTAGGGCCAGGCATTATTATGCAGATTATCTCACTGATGCTGATCAGGAAATTTCAGATTGACTTTTGAAAGGTCACACTTCTGGGAGAGTCTAAAATTACAATTAAGTCATGAATTGCCGTCCTGGGGGCAAATGACTCCATTTTGGGCCTATTGTTTCTTTCCCAACACTATTTAAAGTAAGTTTTTTGATTGATAAGAATAAAATGCCCTTTGATAAAGCCAATCTACAGGTAGAAGTTGTTTGTTTCCAAACTGTAGAGAAAAAAAAATTAGAAATGAGTGTAGACATCCTCTATATTTGGTCCAACTTTTTTTTTTTTAAAAAGATTTAGTTATTTATTTGCGAGAGTGCGCGCGAGCAAGCGCACGCATGAGCAGGGGGAAGGGCAGAGGGAAAAGGAGAGAGAATCCTCAAGCAGACTCTGCTTGGCCTGCAGAGGCCCACACGGGCCTTGATCCCGGGACCCTCAGACAACATTTTTAAAATTTAGTTGTCAGTGTGCAATAATTAATACCTTTAATTTTGGAGTGTTCTTATTTGCCCATGTTTAGGGACCTTTAAATGCTATAACATGGAATTATTAATGTTAAAAAGAAACTTCAAGGCTTCTTTTGAGATAGCTGAGGTTTTAGCTAGAATTCATACTAAAAATTCCTGTAGCATTATTTTCTGCCAGAACTCTGTAATCCAAAGTGGAAATGAAAGAATTCCCTTGCTTTGGCTTTGCCTCTCCTAATGCATTTAGAAAACTGAGGAATTAAGAGTAGATGACATTTATATAGTTTATTTATATAAAATTTAAAATCCAAATTCACAAAGACATTTCATCCATAGTAGGTATTCTACAAGATGGAAATGTTACTGTCCATGCCCTCTGTATTTCTCACCTGTCTGAGATCTATGCTGAAAGTCTATCAAGTGCTTCTTGAAATGTGATTGCTGGACCAGCAGCATCAACATCACAAAGGAACTTGTTAGAGAGGTTAATTTTGGGGTCCCTCCCCCAGATCCATTAGATAGGAAACAGGGAGGGTGAGACCCTCTTGGCATTGCCAAGGTATTATCGAATTCACCTCAGTACTAGCTCTTTGCTACTCTGCGTTGTTCACACCACCTGAGAGCTTGGGAGGCAAGTGGACTCAGGCCCCACCCCCAGACCTATTGAATCAGAATCTGCATTTCAACAAGATCCCCAGGAGATCTACCCACACAGGAAAGTTGGATTAGCCTCTGTAGCTGATCCTTTGAGAGGAACCTGCAAAAACTAATATGTGAACAACACAATGAGCCAATGAGAGTAGGTGACACAAGTAGCCTCAGGCGGCAAGTCTGTGGCTACCATCTGGGAGGGAAATTGCCCCAGTTCACCTTGTGGCCGAAATTCAAGCCCTCTTGCCTCTCGCCACCCACAAAGCAGACCCTCCCGCTCTGTGTTCTTCGGCACCTGGATAGTTGACTCTCTGTGAACTCTATACCTAAGAGTGCCTTGCATTGGAGGGTATACAATGACACATAAGGTAACCAAATTTAGGTAGATGACATGTTCATTGTCACTTTATTAAGTAAATTTATTTTGCTAACCCATACTTCTAAAAATCACATTTTGATAGTAATTATTTTTGATCAAGTTTATCCAATAAATTTACCAGATCATGTTCGAAAATCAACCTGGATAATCCTGATAGTTTAAGCAAAACACTCAGTTTCCTGATTTCATTTTGGCAAATAGGTGTCTTGATGTATTCTTTTCTGACTGAGCCAACTTATCCCCAATACATTTCTAACGTTTTATTTTTCTGGGTGCAGCTGACTTTGAGTATTATAAGTGTGGCTGAGAACCTGTCAGAACCAGTGGTGGTATATTAAGTAACCGAAGTCTGTCATGATTATTTCTTTGTGTTTCAGACTGGGTAGAAGAAAGTTAAGAAAAATTTTCAGAGTTGTTTTAATTTTATATAGTACATTATCAATATTAACTATATATAGTACCCTAGAAATAGAGAATATAATTATTAAATATGTCAAATATTAACTAGTAATATTAAATACTAATTTGATATTGACGTTTTTATTCAATATATTTGAAGTTAAACATTAAGAAGACTGTTGACACAAACACACGTCCCTTGGTATTTTGTGAGGGTGATGGCAGAGACCGCTGGCTGTCTACCTACTATCTCCTAACTTAGTTCTTCATTAGAGACGGAGCTCTGATTTCATTCGGGTTGGCTACGTGCCTCGCTGAGAGACCACTATTTCCCAACCGCCTGAACCAAGTGTCACATGCCCTAAATTCTGGCCAGTGAGAAGTAAGTGAAATGCTGTGTATAAGGTTTCTTAGTAGGTGTCTTAAAGGTGTCTTAAAGGAGCTGATTCAGCTGGAAGAATTTTTTTTTTCTTCTCCCAATTGTTTTTTTTTTTTTACGTAAGCTCTACACCAGACGTTGGGCTTGAACTCACAACCCCAAGATCTACCGACTGAGCCTTCCAGGTACCCTTGCTTCCCCCAATTGTATTTCATGATGTCTAGAACACAGATGGGACGCCCCATGTGGAAGCAATCCTGTTGTGAATTTCAGAGTGGAAGCCACATTTGTTGAGAATGGAGGAGCATAAAGATAGAAGGAGGCTGGATCCCTGATGACTTTGTGGAGCCTCCAAATCTGCCCTGGATTTCCTACCTCTAGACTTGTTCACTCAAGTGAAAAATCTTTGTGTGTTTAAGCAATGAAATTTTAGATTTTCCATTAAATGTAGCTGAATCTTATCTGATATAGGGAGAGAAGAGAGACTGAATGGAAATAATTGATTTACCTAAACATGATTCAATAAACTTGGGAACTCATTTTCTTTTGGCTAATATTTTAAAAATGGATAGACCTGAAGACATTTCAGTGTTTTCTTTCCTTCTTTTTTTTTTTTCTTTTTTGAGAGAGAGAGCATGCTCACGAGTGGTGGGGAGGGGCAGAGGAAGAAGGATAGAGAGAATCTCAAGCAGACTCCAAGCTGAATGCGGAGCCTGAGCAGGACTCGATCTCACCACCAGGAGATCATGACCTGAGCCAAAATAGAAGTCGGACACTTAACCAACTAAGCCACCCAGGTGCCCCAAGACACACATTTTTATTTTTTATTTTTTTAAAGATTTTATTTATTTATTTGAGAGAGAGTAAGTGGGAGAGAGCATGAGCGGGGGAAGGGGCAGAGGGAGAAGCAGACTCCCCACTGAGCAAGGAGCCTGATGTGGGGCTCGATTCCAGGACCCTTAGATCATGACCTGAGCCGAAGGAAGATGCTTAACCACCCAGGCACCCCGAGACACACATTTTTAAATGTTGCATACTACTTCTACCACTTCATCCTCTGTTCCTCTGAACAGTGTGATCAAATTGATATGTTCCCTTAAGTCTGAAAGATTCAATATTTTGTTCCACTCTAATAGTCTGAGGCATACTCTCATTTTTCAGTTAATTAATATATAGGTAAATAAAATTTATTTTCCTATTTATCCAATGAATTGCTATCATAATCTGAAACTGTTCTTATGCTGACTCAAATAGACTTGAAAATGAGTAAAGCTGTGTTTGACAAACACAGGAAATTACAGAGGTTTCAGCATGTGACAAAGAAGACAATGTTATGGTTTTGGTGTATGACAAATGGTGATTCCATATGCTAATAAACTCAGTTGGATTTCTGCTTTTTTACATTAGTGGCTATATAAAAATGCATTTTAAAAATTACCTCAGTGAATTGGCTAGGACTTGCCTTAGAGCATTTGGTAACAGAAATAAAGTGGCTTAGACAATGTAAAAGCTTATTTTCACTAATGTAAAACAAGCTCAAAATCTTGGAATTGTATGGATGCTGGTTTTTTGGGTTTTTTTACTGTTTTTTAAAACATTTATTTTAGAATTGCCATGAAGGGGAAGCTTTACAGATTTGAATCCATTAAGTCTAAACATTTCTCCGGAGGAAGAGATATCCAAAAGTAAGTCACAAAACAAATAAGAATATCGGGAAAAAAAAATAAACATTTGTGAGAGATAATACATTACCGTTACTAATATACTAATGAATTTCATAAGTTGATATGAAAATAATAAATTACTAAGTAAAATGGGCAAAGAATATAAACAGATCTTTCACAGAAGAAAGGACAGTTAAATTTCAAAATGAAAATATTCTAATCTCACTGATAGATTTAAAGCAATGAAAAATTAAACATCTGTTTACTACTATATTTCTTTCATTCAAACTCAATTAATTTTTCAAGTACATATGTTCAGGAAAAATTATGGAGAAATAGAATCTCTCATAAATTACATCTGCAGGCTAAGGTGTAGCTGGCAAATGTTTTGAAAAAAATTTATGAATACATTGCTATATTCAAATCAAGACATTTTACCCAAAATGTAAATTTGTGACTTCTTTTGAAAAATTGACAGTTCTGGTGACACTGAGTCTATATTCTCAAAGTCTGCCCATTGGCTAGAAGTGGAAAGTGGCATTCAGTGCCCTCTGCCAAAGCCAGCACCCTCTGAAGCTTGCCCTTCCTGTCTCAGACAGGAAGACTTCAATTATCATTTATTAGGACATTTGTACTTTCTTTCTTTCCTTCCTTCTTTCTTTCTTTCTCTTCCTTCCTGCCTTTCTTTCTTTCTTTCTCTTCCTTCCTTCTTTCTTTCTTTCTTTCTTTTCTTTCTTTCTTTCTTTCTTTCTTTCTTTTTCTTTCTCTTTTTTCTTTTCTTTCTTTCTTTCTTTCTTTCTTTCTTTCTTTCTTTCTTTCTTTCTTTCTTTCTTTCTTTCTTTCTCTTCCTTCCTGCCTGTCTTTCTTTCTCTTCCTTCCTTCTTTCTTTCTTTCTCTTCCTTCCTTCTTCTTTCTTTCTTTTTCTTCCTTCTTTCCTTCCTTCCTTCCTTCCTTCTTTCTTTCTTTCTTTCTTTCTTCTTTCTTTTCCTTCCTTCCTTCCTTCCTTCCTTCCTTCTTTCTTTCTAAATATGGAATGCTTCATGAATCTGCATGTCGTCCTTGCACAGGGCCATGCTCCTCTTCTCTGTATTGGTCCAGTTTTCGCACGGGTGCTGCTGAAGCCAGCACTGTACTATTATTTTCTGAAGGGAGGTTTAAGAGGAGAAAAGAAACAGGTTTTCTGTACTTTCACTTTTTCAAAACAATTTCAGAATAATTTAAAAGGGCTGCTTTTTTCAACCAACGTGACTTCTTTATCTTGATTTCTTTCCTGACCCCTGCAGGCATTGACGTTTGTAGCTACTTGTGCTACATGAGTTTCAATATAAAATGAATTATTTTGCCATTTGGCATACAATCTACTTGACTTCTTCCCTGTGTTCATTGTTTATTGTTTTCTCTCTTCTCCCCACATTGGAGTGTAAGCTCCATCAGAATGGTGCACAGCACATAAAGGGAACTCAATAAATGTTTTCTGAAGAAATTTATTGAGTGCCTACTATGAGCAAACATTCCAGAACGCTCTTTTCACAAATATTATCTCATTGAAAATATTAACATTACTTCCAATTTAAGCATTATTATTCCTATTTACTAATAAGAAAACTGACGCAGATAGAGGTTAGCTGACTCAAATAAGCTCAGACTGCTAGGTTTCCAGAGAGCCAGGATTTAAATGCAAGTCTGAACAATGATTGCACCCTGAACATTCCTCTTCAAATGTCTTTCCATATCCGTAATACAATGGAAAAAAATGTTTAGGACTTCTTAATCCTAAAAGAAAATTATGCATCCTGTGAATCTAGGTTGCTTATTCAGGACCTTCTCTGATGTAAATTTCAATCCTCAGCTGGTAAATTTCCATGGGAAGGAGGATGACAAAACAGTCTTTCTTACATCAGAGCAATCCTCTCCACACCAGCATCTATGGGTTAAGTAGATGAATTGTTTCCACTTAGAGTTGTCCTAGTTATGTGTATATTGATAACAATCAAGTTTGCATCTCCAGATTGGATGTCTCTTGAATTCCACATCCATATTCTTTACTAATTATTTCCAGCTTTATGGTTCACAGAAATAGCAAACTCAGTATCTTCAAAAGTGAATACTTAATGCCTTCACAAATGAGCACTTCGCTGCTGTCCTTATCTTTGTTACTAATAGTAACATCCACTCATTGTCCAAATATATATCAAATCCAGAATTCTGCAATTATCTGGGCATGTGAAGAATAGAAAATTAATGCACTCCCAGAGGAGACAGATTTATAAATCAAGTAATTACAATACTTGGGTCAGATAACAAATAACAGAGGCACATGTCAAAACCTGTATGCACACAGAAGACTTGGAAGTGCTTTTCCCTACACAGGGAAGTGAGGGAAGGCTCCATGAGCACTGTGGAAGGAGGCATTCTAATAGAAGTGGAAGTAAGCATTCCCAAACCAAACTAAGCCAAAAACAGACAACTAAAAGCAAAAGAAAACAAGCAAAAAACAAGAATGACTGGAGTTTCAAAAAACACAATTTGAAAACCACTATCATGGAGGATGGATTGGAAGGCTCTTAGAGCTGGAAGACCAATGGAGATGGTCCAGATGAGTGATGTGGAATCAGACATAGCAATTAACCCAGAGACAGATGGATGTGAGCGTGAGGCAGAGACAGTGTCTAGGATGACTCCCTGGCTTCTAACTTGAGTAAGTGGGAGGATCATGAAACCATTAACTCCAAGGAAGAGAAAAGCAAAGTTTTGTTATGGAAAGACAATGGCTTTGGTTTGAGACATTTTAAACTTTAAGTATCTGTGGGAGTTCCAGGGAGGTATGTCCTGTCTCAAAGTCGCAAAGGACATGATTGATGCTCCCCACCCCCACTTCCTGCTCTTTATTACTTAACATCCAGGTTATCCATCCCCAAATATCGGAATTTCATTTAGGGCAGGGACCACATTCTAAATTGCTTTTTATCTAAGTAACTCATGGTATAAATACCTTTTTTTCTTGTATGAATATTCAAAGCATCTTCTCTTTCCTCTGCTCAGCAAGGATTGCCTAGGCATTTCCCCCTTACACCTCTTTTCTCCTTCCCTTCTAGCATCCCTTCACCCCTACCCTAAACTCTAGGATTTGTTGTGAAAATCAAGCCAACCAGCCATATGCTAGTGAGGATTACTATTAAGTGAAGTAAGATGTATGTGAGAAACAAGGATGTGAATTGTATCTCAATAAAGTTGTTATAAAAAAGGAAAGGAAAAAAAGAGGAGGTGAGAAAAAAAGAAGAGCTCAGAGAATGAGGAGGTAGTTTCATTTATCTTGGGATAGTTGTTGTTGAGAAATAGAAAGAAGGACAAAGTTAAATTCACATTTTCCGGAAGCAACATTACACTGAATACAGGACATCTGGAAGGAAGAAAAGACTGTAAAGATGGTTGCAGGGTATTAAGAATACCTCTTGAGAAGGCTAGAAAAGACTGGAAGTATTTGAACAGGTTGGTGTTTGACTGTGTTTCCTGGAAGGCCCGTTGGGCTGAGCCTGGGACTGGTGGGGGCGGGTAGGAGTGCTTGCACAGTCACTGATCAGGCAAAGGTCAGGGGAATGATGGCATTGGTGTTTGGTTTTGCTCTTAAATTTATTGAGGTATAATTGACAAATAAAATTTAAATACACAAAGCGTACAATGTGATGATTTACTATACATAATAATTTATGAAATGATCATCAGAATCGCGTTAATTAGCAAATCCACCAGTTCTTATAGTTACCTTGTTTGGTTTGCATGTATGGTAAGAATGCTTTGGGGTCTACCTACGTGCTCAGCAAATTGCAAGTACACAATACAGTGTTGTTACCTATAGTCACCAGGCTGTACGTGAGATCTCCAAAGCTTATTCATTTCATATAACTGCAGGCTTGTACATTTTGACTGGCATTTTCGTCTCCCCCTTACCTCTCGGGCCCTGATAATCACACTTTAATCTTCATCAGGTTATCTATCTATATCTATAGCCCTATCTATCTCTCTATCTATCCAATACTGACTAGCTGGCTTCCCCAAAACTGATCAGATGAAAAACCCAATCATAGTTAAATACATGAATCCCCGCTATTACTTTCTCTGGAGCAAGCTCCATAGAATTATCTATATGGAATACATCTTTGTTGCAAACCAATGCTTGTAATTAAGAATCCTGGGACTTTTTATTTTTGGTTTGAGCCTCATGTTTATGACCACTGTTTATTGATGTTTTTTCATATGCTTTCTACAACTGGAAATTACATAAATCTCTCATGCCTCATTTTCAGTTGTTTTGAAGGATCACAGCCTCTATATGGGGTGACTTCTCAGATGCCCGAGTATAAATTTCAGGTTTGCTTATAGCCAGTATTTTACCTATGCGTATTTCAGAGTAACATCATAACTTGTTAATAATTAGTCTATGGATTACAGGTAGTTTGGTAGTTTGATAGCATATGTATTTGTTCAACACATATTTACCAAGGGCCCACATTGTGACAGGCGCAAGTTGTAGCCACTGAAAGTGGAGAGGAATATAAGACCTCATGAAAATGACATTCTTTTTTTTTTTTTTAAAGATTTTATTTATTTATTTGACAGAGAGAGAGAGAGCGAGAGCAGGAACACAAGCAGGGGGAGTGGGAGAGGGAGAAGCAGGCTTCCCGCCAAGCAGGGAGCCCGATGTGGGACTCGATCCCAGGACCCTGGGATCATGACCTGAGCCGAAGGCAGACGCTTAACGACTGAGCCACCCAGGTGCCCTGAAAATGACATTCTAATAGACAGAGATAGACCAAGAAAGCAAAATAAGTAAAATATGAGAGACAGATAGATGGTAGGATGGAGTAGTATATGGAAGACCAAAACTCCCACCAAAGCCAACCAAGAAACCTGGATAAAATACAAAAATTTATCTGTTTTGATATATCAGAAAGTTGCAGAATCAACAAGAGCAAGAGAAGCTGATCTTCCAGAGGGGACAGCACCAGAGAAAGGGGAGTTTATCCCCTGTAAGATAACTTCACTTTTTCCCGAGGGAGCATTTGAAGCTGCTGGACACGGGCTAGCAGCTAAGAACCCAGCCTTGGCCAAAGCAGAAGGCCACTGCCTAGGAAGAGAGAAACGGGGAGCTTTTGGCAATTGCTCAGGGCTAGAGTGACAAAGACACTTGACGGATTGCACCTACCTCCGGCTCTCCCTTTGAGACATTTGCTGGGTTCTAAACCTTCATGGGGTGGGAAGCTAATAAAAGCAAAACCCTCAAAAGAAAAAAAAAAGGCAAAACCCTCCAATAAACAGAAAGCCATTTCCACAGTCTCCTAGCTCAAGAGACAAAGACCTGCCCGGGGCAGGAGTCACAGTGAACCCACCAGGCTCTTAGTTAAAATCCACAGGAAGTAATCAGAGGTTTGAAGTTTCAATTAGGGTGGACAGGGAAGGCCCCAAAGAGAAGGGGGCACAAGGGTCAAAAGCTGAAGGAGGTGAGAGAGCTGTCTGAGGGAGGAGTGTTGAGTGCAGAAGTGAAAGCCTGAGGAGGAATATGCCCGGCACGTTCAAGGAACAGCCGAGGGCCCCCACCCCAGCAGAGCACGTGATCGGGGAGTAAGAGTTGGAATCTGAGAGACACACGGTGGAATGTGTCAGCGCCCGTGGACCACTGGACAAACTCTGGATTTGATCTAAATGAGATAACAAGCCTCAGAGGGACTTTTTGTTTTTAATCTTTTAACTTTGGAATCCTTCTAGAGGAGGTTGGGTAGAGAAATGTCATAATCTGACCTATTTATTACCAGGGACAGTCTGGCTGCTGGATTGAAAAGAGACTGAAGTGAGGCATATTGGAAGCAGAAAGACCAGTTAGGAGGTTTTTCAAATAACCCAGGTGGGAGACGATAGTGATCTGGACAAGAATGGACATGGTGGGAAGGGGGAGATGCAGGGTATATTTTAAAGGTAGAGTTCATAGAATTTACTGACAGAATGGATTTCTTGTATAAGAGAAAAAGAGGAAGTCTGCAAGATGTTTTGACGGAAATAATTGGAAAGGGTGGAATCACCCACCATTCACTCAAAGGGGAGAGACCGTGAGCATCGTCAATAGGGAAGATCAG